GTTAGGTCTAACCGTGTATTCTTGTTTGTTTACTTTGGTTCCGGTTGCTGTGTCGTTAGATCTAACCGTGTATTCTTGTTTATTTAATTTTGGTTCCGGTTGCTGTGTCGTTAGGTCTAACCGTGTATTCTTGTTTGTTTACTTTGGTTCCGGTTGCTGTTTTGTTAGGTCTAACCGTGTATTCTTGTTTGTTTACTTTGGTTCCGGTTGCTGTGTCGTTAGATCTAACCGTGTATTCTTGTTTGTTTACTTTGGTTTCGGTTGCTGTGTCGTAAGGTCTAACCTTGTTTTCTTGTTTGTTTACTCTGTTTTTTGGTCTAATCGTATATTCATGTTTGTTTACTTTGGTTTCGGTTCAAAATGTTGTTTCTTGTTTTATAGTTGCGGTTTCTCTGGCAGCCATCCAATGGATCAGATGAGAATAATCCACAGTACATCCAACAGGAGCTGACCAGATTCCAGTCCGAACTTCAGGATATGCGAGTCAAGTACAACAATTTACAGACCAAGTACAGTAGCCAGAATACCGAACTCGCTTATCTACATACCAAGTACAGCAGCCAGAATACCGAACTCGCTTATCTACATACCAAGTACAGCAGCCAGAATACAAAACTAGTGGACCTACAGACCTAGTACAGTAGCCAGAACACCGAGCTCGCAAATCTGCAGACCAAGTTCAACAACTAAAACACCCAACTCAAAAATCTACAGAGTAAGTACATGAACGTTTCCCTTTTGCGTTCCTATAACACTCTATGCCCACAATTACAACGATGAAAGATGTCACAGACTAGGCAAAGTAAATTAAGTAATACTCTCAATTAACACATAGATATTCAATTTATTAACGTGGCAGTCTAGCTCATTTAATATAACATTCTTATACATCATTTCACCGCTATTATATATTGATAAAGGAAAATGTACAGCTAACACGGGATACGAACCTGGAACATCCAAACTCTAGATGGACGCTCTAACCAGTAGAGCTTCCTGGTTACCGCTGAACGACCAGGTTAAGTTCCTCTTCGTCAGAGTCTTTCGACTCCGACGACACACAAGACCCTGTACCACTTCCGTGGGGATCTTTAGTTGGGTGCCAAATATAAAAGAAAATCCAAAAATGCAACGACAAGACTCGGATTCGAACCCAAGACCACCGAATTATAGACCGACCTTCTAACCAAATGAACTAACTGGTCGCCGGCGATTGGCCAACTCCTGCTATGCTGTACCAATTTTGGTTTATGATTTTGCGGTATCAATCAATATATAGCAATATTTGTCTTGAAATATATGAATATTATTAGTTACACGGATTTTTGGCAGGGTATACGGGATGGTATGACCCAACAGGATTTCGTATTTCTTTCGGACTATCGGCCTCAGGAAATACGAAACCCAAAATTAGTACGAATACGAAATCCTGTAGGGTCATACCATCCCGTATACCCTGCCAAAAATCCGTGTAACGAATTTATTACCCCTTTGAGTCTTTTATAATAAAAACAAAGAAAAATAACAGGCACAGTACCTCATTTAGTTTCGTTTTATCAAATTCCTCAAGCTCTTCTTCCTCATGCTTTTCTTTTAAATACGTTCTCAGCATGTTTGCCGCTCGTCTGTTCGACTTTTGTGTGTTATGTGGCACATTGTTAGCCCTTTTGGCGAGTATTTCCTCATCAGTATGCGAAGCGAAACGTTTTGCCATTTTGTAAACAGCGAAGCAGACGACGAATGCGAGTTGTCTCCCGATGCCCGGCCGCAAGATACAAAGACACGTGACCCGTATACCCCTTGTAAAATCACGTGATTCCACCGTATTACCCCTTGTAAAATCACGTGACATGACCGTATACCCCCTGAGATTTTCGTATACCTCCTGAGATTTACGAATGCGGTTTGGTACACTGTAGTTTTTAACCAATCAGATTCCTAGATTTTTCTCAAAGGGGTAATAATGTATATTACATCAAAATATCACACACACACTCTCTCTCTTACTCACAGACATCAAAATATCACACATTCTCCCTCATTCACACATACACAGACATGTATATTACATCAAAATATCACACACACACACTCACACATACACACATATGTATAATACATCAAAATAGCACTCTCTCTTTCTCTCTCAAACATATATTATTAGATAAAAAGCATTTCGTTTGGCTATGTAGCCATCCATTTTATCGCCACAACATATACATAAAGGTACACTTTTGTTTAGCTGATCAAATGCCTATCACTATTGCCTCTGATCGGAAAATATTAAAACAACGACTTTGTTTTTTCCGGATTATAGTTATCACTCTGCATATAATTGGTCATGATGTTTTTAATAAACATTAAATTTGCTAAGACAGTTGACAGCAGTCCAACACATTTGAAACAAAATATTGCTAAATTCCAAGCGACTGTTTGATAGAAATATGCGTTGCATATTAATTCCTTCCAGGTCAATTGTAATTTTATTACCAAATTAAGAAAACTACTATTTTTAATTACCTCTCTTTTCAATTTCAAAATGGGACTCAATGGTACCATTTTTCATTCAGACTTTCAAAACTATCCAAGATGGTTACATGTGTATGTTCTTACAATAAAGGCATTATTTGGATATAAAAGAAGATACTAGTGTTATGCTCCACGTTAAGAATGACCTGTGATGTCATTTTCGGTGTAGAACGAGTCACGATAACATTTAACCTTTTTATATCTTTGTGTCTCAGTCCCTTTTAAACCCAGATCGTGGAAGAGATAACAACAGACACGATTGCCTCTAACAAATGTTGTTTTCTTGTTTTATAGTTTCGCTGTCTCTGGCAGCCATTACCGTCACCAACGGGTCAGACGACAAGCGTATACTCCTCAGTGATCCACAGTATATCCAACAGGAACTGACCAGATTCCAGGCCGAACTTCAGGAGATACAGGTCAAGTACAACACACAGAACACCAAACTAACTAATCTACAGGTAAAGTACAGCAGCCAGAATACACAACTTGCGGACCTAGAGACCAAATACAGCAGCCAGAATACCGAGCTCGCAACCAAGTACAACAGCCTGAATATCGAACTCGCTAATCTACAGATCAAATACAACACCCAAAACTCAGATCTCAAAAATCTACAGAGTAAGTATGATTCCCTTTGGTGTTCATATAATGCTATCGTAATTATCCCACAGACCAACGTTGCAAAAAAACAAGACGTCACTCTAAAAACTCGGAAAAAAAAACAAAAAAAATAATTTTCAGGAAAGGTGGAAGATTACATAATGATGAAAAATGGTGTTACAAAGGAAGTAAAGTCGAATGTGTGGATCAATATCCTTACCTAGGTGTTATTCTAAATTACAACAATAAACTCACTTCTATCCAACGAAAAGCTATGTTTGCATTATTTTCAAAGTGTTCATCATAAAACTTAAATGTAAAAACTATGCTACACCTTTTCGATACATATGTAAGCAGTATCCTTTTTTATGCAAGTGAAATTTGGTGTATGCACAAAGCTCCAGAGATTGAACATGTACAAAAGTGAAGAAATCGGCCAATAACAACATGGTACATCTTGCATTGTGACGATTACCTCTAGTTTGTATGAGAAAAATTAGAATGATGAAATATTGGTTTAAGATCTGAAAATCTGAAAATTGCATCATTTCCACTTTTTATTAAAACGTTGTTGTAAAAATGATTTCAACTGGGCTAAAGCAGTAAGAGATGAATATTGTTTATTGTATAAAAATATCATTGATTTTGGAGAATCATTACAATTTTACCTCACAAAATATATACCAATGAAATATCGCATTTGTTTAACTCGAATCCGTACATCTACACATTCTTTGGCTGTGGAAGTTGGAAGGTATGATAATATACCTAGAGAACGTAGATATTGTAAACAGTGTAACTCCCCCTCTGAAGTAGAGGACGAATTGTCCATTTATTAGTCTGTTTTAAATTCCAAAATCTAAGATCACGTTTTATCAAAAGCTACTATTGGAAAAAAACATCTGTGTTTAAAGTCGTTCAGTTATTGAGTGTCCATAATATTAAAGATTTGTGTCTTCTAGGAAAATTCATCTATGAGGCAAACAAATTAAGGGTATTATAATGGAATATGATTGTCTTCATTCTCTGTATATTGTCCATGATTTGTGTATAATATGTATTGTATACTGATGGGCCAATGGCCTAAAGTTTGAATAAAACTTGAAACTTGAAACTAATCAAGGTAATATTGTCAATAAACACATAGATATTCTTTATATTAACGTTGTATTTTAGCTCATTTAATATTAACTTCTTATACATCATTGCTCCTCTATTATATATTGACAGGTGGCAAAGGAGCTGTTTTTACAAGGTGGGGAAGACGAGACTGTCCTGCCAATATAACAACAAAGGTTTACTCTGGTAAGCATGATTAAATATGTCATTCCCACTGGCCTGAGAAAGGGGAATCTAAACCAAAGGGGAGAAGATTCTAATGTTGCCAAAAACGAGGCTTGTTTGGTGAGTTTATAATCTCCTTCCAAATGTTGAGATTCTCAATCCCACCTCAAGGCGGTGAATTATTTTGTTCTTTTACCCTGCCGACCCTGTCATACACATAATTCAATTTTGACGTTACAGACGCTGATATGAGGAGAGTTTTGTTTACGTGAGTCATACATTTTTTTTCACTGAGGGATTCCCCGTCTCAAACCGAGGGTGAGACAAGTATATATCACAGCCGGAAATGTATATACACCTGTCAAGGGTAAGAGAACTGTTGATATTCTCCAAACATTCGAGATACCTAAGGTATTCATTATTAAAAAATCGACGTGTGTGTTCGTAATGGTTGAATATACCACGAGGATGAGGAATTGTTGCGAATATAATAATAATCGAAGGTCGCTTGCGGCATGAGGTTATTAGTATTCCAAAATTTTCGAATCTCCAGTTTTTCTTTACACCATAATATATACGCTCATATGTAGATTATATCTATTCAATCAAATATGAACACAAATGTTTGTGTCTGCCTCAGTGTCAATACACCTATGATAAGCAAGGTGACCTAGATACAGTTGTGGGATCGCACAACGTTACACGATGTGCGGTGTGCGCACGATGTGTGCACGGTGTGTGAACGGTTTGTGCACGATGGGCGAACGATAAAAAGCTGGACGATCATTGCTTGCGCACATCTGTGCGCACGATGGACGGACGTTGTGCGATAACAATCGTGGTTGGTGTCTTAATAATTAATACGGTTTCGTGTTTAAACATATAAACTTGATGTTTACGTATGTTTCTATATTCTAGCAACATCTATAAACTTATCTTTCTGTCTATACATTCTTATATTTAGAAATTGTGTTTTCTGTGTTTTTAAACAAACTTAATCGACACATGTAAAATTACAACACAATCCCGTATACAGGTAAACATAACCACTTTGTACATGTACCTGGACCGTAGTTTTCTCCCCGCCTGGGGCACTTACGTAACTCGTCGGGTAAGGCCGGGGGTGTGAAAATCCAGGTGAAGGGGAGCTATAGGCAAACGAATGCAAATAACAAATACTATTCATTACGGTCAAACGGTATCGCATATCAGCTCTGTGTGTCAGGCACTGGTCAGGTAAAACTCCGGACACTCATAAAATTGTTATTTACCTGTTCTGTTACCTTGGAGCCAAACCCATTCTTGACAGCCTAACGGTCGCTGTAATACTGTGTAACACGCATTGTGAAATTGTATAATCTTGATTATTGTGATGAGAAATTACAGATATATACACAGTGTACATTATCGCATACAAGCCTTCCGTATTTTTGTCATTCCGTAATTTTGATCTACAAATGATACCAAATCGCACAGTTGTGCGGAGAGAAGCGCACAACGGGGCGAACGATTGCTAAATCGCACAGTTGTGCGCACCATGTGTGGACGATGTGCGGACGGTGTGTGAACGATGTGTATGCACGGTGTGCGCACGCTATTTTTGGTGCGTTGTGCGGTCCCACAACTGTAATATAGCTATATAAACTATGTTGTTCCATTTGAAACTCCTCCAAAAGAAATGTTTTCTGTGTTGAAATGGATGCCTATCAAATTGTATATTAATTATAGAAAGACTGTAATGACCTTAAAATGTGTACAAGGACTTGCTCCTGAATATTTATGTTCTTGTTTTAAACACGACGTGCTGAACAGAATATGTTGTACATTCCTTAGCACAGGACAACCTTCTATTCTAGTCACTTTGTTTTATCAAGTTGTAAGACTTGGAATGCATTTCCAAATGATGTAAGGTCACCACCATCTTTTAACACTTTTAAGCATAGAGCTATAAAGCACTACTGTGTTTCATACTTTTAGATAAAGAAAACAGATTTTTAATTTATGCTATATTAGCAAATATCCTGGTAATTTCTATACTTCGCTTTATTAGCATATATGTATGTAAGGCTCCGGCCATTTAACTATTATCAGACCTTCAAGGCATGAGAGTTATGCTTTCTGTGATATTTGATGTATTGTACATGTACTATATAATTGCATGTAATATTTTCAGCAATCTCATAACTTATATTTTAGATGTAATTAATGTTTAGTTTATATTACTATGTTTTAAGAAATACTATGTAAACACTAGCACATTTTACTAACATAGAGGACCCTGATGGAGATTAGCCTTTGGCTAAATCAGGTTTTTTAATTCTTAATAAATAAAGTTTATTATTATTGTTCTTTTACACGAGCTAACATTTGTCATCTGATTCCCATATTTGTCTTCATTACACTGCAAGATTTTAAATAGAAACAGTTTTGTGTGTCCACTATCAAATCTTCAAATACAAAATGAATTGCCTGTACCCTTTCGACAAAGGAAATATGTCCCGCGACTCGCTTGCCTACATAATAAATGCACGCGCATGGTCCATCATCCAATAATATATACATGGTTATTCACAAATGAAAAGAGTCTTTGCATCGAAAAAGTGTTAAAATTTAAAATATATGTCACTTTAACCCTTGAACAGATATTAATTGAATACTCTGCGCTAATTATTAAGATAAAGAAGATTATATATACCATGCAACGATACATATGTACCTAACTTTTTATAACTTTTTGATTAACTGTAGTGATAGTTTTTCCTTTGAGGTAATGTTGCCAAAGTTCCTGTAGTCATTTTGTTCCTATTTCGAATTAATAGTTTGTGTTTGAATGTTAACGCTATGGTTATGCTTTTCTCTTTAACTTGAAGCATTTCTTTAAGGATCGCCGTACCACTGTCAAAACTGAAATTCGCTTTACGATGTGTTATTGACTCTGAAATGAAAACCATACCTTGCGATACTTTTCTGAAAACTAATAACTTTGACATAAGAACATATCAGCGGCAGTGTTCCGAGTGTTAAAAAACAACGGGATTAAATTACAGCTCGAACCCAATGACCTAAGGTCATCTTACTGTCACTATAACCCTGGACCTTAGATCCCTTTTATGACGCTTTAGCCATCCGACCTACTTGGTCAACAGAAGATCATTACCATAGTAACGAAAAGCCGTATCCAACACAAAATTAGGATGCGATAATTGTTTGCGGTATTCTCTAGTGTTTTGCCTGCAGAGTAAAATGGGTCCTTAAACCCCTTAATACTTGTATGCTTCAGTATCTCGAAACTTGACTTATTTGGATGTTTTCTTTGTCAAATTCAAACACACCTGATACTTTTATCATGTGTAACATCATGAAGACATTATATTACCAAGTTAATAAGTATACACTTGATTATTTTAGGTTATGCTGGTGGGTCGATGTTTACCTCTACTGGAGCCGCAGCGGAATACGTATGTATGCCAAACGACCCTATCTGGGGACCTCACAAGGATCTGGTGTACAACGATGATGTTGGCTTTCTCTACGGGGCAGAGTACAAGGGGCCAAGTGTCCTGTTTGGTATGCCGAATTGGGCAGAGGATGTACCGTGCGCCGTCTGTCTTGGTACACAACACACCGCCTCTCTCATGATTCCGGGTAGGACACAATGCTATCCAGGATGGACGGAAGTATATCAGGGCGACCTAGCGTCTGGTTACCATGGTCACCAGGCAGCCTCACAGTACGTCTGTGTTGATGGGAACGCTCAGGCAGTTCCCGGGGGTGGTACCCATAATGAAGACGGTAAACTGTTCTATGGTGTCAAAACTAAGTGTGGATCACTGCCCTGTCCACCCTATGAAAACGGAAAATTTCTCTCTTGTGTTGTCTGTATGAAGTGAACATACTCTGTTTACTTCTCAGGAAAGTACGAATAAAATTTGATTGACACACACAAAAAATATATATCTTGCTTGTCCCATTGTATTAGTTCAGTTAAGTAGTTTTATTGGAAAAAGGAGCCACTACTTGGAATCAGAGATTGAATTCTGGGTGATTATTTGTAATATATCTATATATAAGAACGGGATATTTTTCGAGATTGGCACCGCCAAAACTCGGAGCTTATGAGAAGACATTATTACTGTACGTAAACTCACGAAAATGAACATAATTTTATGCTCATTTTTTTGCCATTTATACATTATATAGGCTTTCCGACATCTACAAGACATTAGCCAGTCTGACTAACGACATTAGCAGTAAAACACTAAGACGGCAAAATGTGATGATAAGTCTGTCGACATATAACAAACAATCCAACTATTCAATGATTATGTCGATACTGTCACAGTTCATGACAACATTTTTAATATTATATTGACATACCTCTCTTCAAATACGCCACGACACATCTTACTTTTTTACAAGTACCTGTTTCTAAAAGACAACTCATTTGATTAAAATAATGAATTGTGACTCCAAAACCCTTGATTGGTACATCTATGTACGCGCATTAACGTGAGAGGAAAACGCACAGCTAGACTAGGATTCGAACGTGGAACACCCAAAGCCCCGCAGACACACGAGACTCTGTTCCATTTTCGGAGGTATCTTTAGTTGGTTGCCAAATATAACAGAAAATTAAAATTCCACGACCAGAAAGGAATTCGATCCCCAGACCACCGACCACGGACCTTCTAACAAATTGAACTAAATGGTCATCGGCGATTAGCCCAGTCCAGTTATGCTAATTATTTCGGTTAATAATGTTGCAGTTTCAATCAATATATAGCTTTATTATATGACTGGTGCTAATTCCGAGTCCTGATTGGAGAAGTGACGTCACGTGACGAGTCTGTTAATATGTTACAGACCTCGTTCTAGAAATAGAAAAGTGTCACAGACCGCTACTAAAATGGTAATAGATTTACAGACTGGCTGGGAAATTACCTCGGCCTAATTCACAATACTGAATTCAAATACAAATGAATTATCTCTTCAACTTCTGAACTATGTTAATATTGATGATGTCAATTGTTCATATAATATTTACTTGAAATTAAATATCACATGAATTGAATCTGAAATTCAATTTTTGTGTATGTTATTTTGTATTTGAAGTCCTACACTCTGTGATTCCAAAATGGTCCATGCCCCATGTGCTTATGCCATGAAAAAATATTAATCTTATCGTAAAATGTCATATAATAAAACAATTGTGGTCTTCAGTTTCGGTCTATCCCTGATTTACGGACCTGGTCTGAACAATATTCACCTCGGCCTTCGGCCTCTGTGAATATTGTTCAGACCAGGTCCGTAAATCAGGGATAGATCTCACCTGAAGTCCATAATTGTAAAATATTTATCTAGAAATATATTGGAAATAATTGCGAAATGGAAATATGCTCCATAATTTTGCTCAACTAATTCCCTGTGAGTTAAAGCGCTGTTATGAAACAATTTTGGATAGATACTTAATGTGAGGAATGAATCAAGGTCATCTAAATTAAGCTAGGTGTTCTGATGTCATAACCTCCAGAACTAGATAAAATGATTTCTAATTTATCATTGGAGTTTGGTGTCGGATGCTCAGTATTCGTGTTTTATATGTGAAATCGTAATCAATAAAATGAATACATACAAGACTCATGTAGGTCAGTGATCGAGAAAAGAATACAATTGCTGTTACCCACAGCATGTATTGTTAGAGGCGACTAATGTGGGAACCCCCTGCAGAATCTGGGATTTGCTTTTGTGCCCTCCACTTGGGGTACACAAAAAGCGACCAAAATAGTATGCTGCACCCGTTGCAATATTTTGAATATTTATCTTTCTTTCTACTTCTACCTATCTTTTATTTCCTAGCACCTTGCTCGGCAATACCTCACGTTTGGCTTTAATGTTAAACGAGCGCCAAAGTGAGGGAGGCAGTGGGTTCTGTTCCCTGGCCGTAAGTTACTAACATACCAAAGTCCTTACAAATGGTGGTTGGTAATCCCTGTTTAGGGTTAGCGTTATTCAGGGGAATGGAAACAACTGGTTTATCCGTTGTCTGTATAATGTGAACGGGCGGAATTCTGTGATGGGTGCGGTGCATTCGTCATGGTATTTTAGGGGGAAAGCAATTTTAAATCGGCACCAGATCCGCGCTATCACAAGGAGGCTAGAACACCAACATACCATGCCTGCTACACACGTGTAACAACAAAGATGGAGGCACGTCCTTAAATGACATTAGCTGTTGATAGGACATTAAACAAAACAAAACCAAACGAATACCTAGAAATACAATATATTCTTATATGTGTCAATGCTTCCTAAATGTCGGAATATATTGCAGTATGAAAATTACTTTCAGTACCTGTCACATACATGTACATACATACACACTACAATACATCAAAACATCACACGTAATCTCTCACTCATACATACACACTACAATACATCAAAATATCATACGTAATCTCTCACTTATACATACACACTACAATATATCAAAACATCACACGTAATCTCTCACTCATACATACACACTACAATACATCAAAACATCCCTCGTTATCTCTTGCTCATACATACAGACGTATTATACATCAAAACATCACACGTAATCGCTCACTCATACATACACACTACAATACATCAAAATATCATACGAAATCTCTCACTTATACATACACACTACAATACATCAAAACATCACAAGCAATCTCTCACTCATACACACACACGTATTATACATCAAAACGTCACACGTAATCTCTCACTTATACACACACTCTACAATACATCTAAACATCACACGTAATCTCTCCCTCATACATACACACTACAATACATCAAAATATCATACGTAATCTCTCACTTATACATACACACTACAATATATCAAAACATCACACGTAATCTCTCACTCACAAACACACACGTATTATACATCAAAACATCACACATAATCTCTTACTCACACACACACACGTATTATACATCAACACATCACACGTAATCTCTCACTCATACACACACACGTATAATACATCAAAACATCACACGTAATCTCTCACTCCTACATACACACTACAATACATCAAAACATCACAAGCAATCTCTCACTCATACACACACACGTATTATACATCAAAACATCACACGTAATCTCTCACTTATACGCACACACTACAATACATCTAAACATCACACGTAATCTCTCACTCATACACACACACGTATTATACATCAAAACATCACACGTAATCTCTCACTTATACACACACACTACAATACATCTAAACATCACACGTAATCTCTCACTCATACATACACACTCCAATACATCAAAACATCACACGTAATCTCTCACTCACACACACACAATACATACACACTATAATACATCAAAACATCACACGTAATCTCTCACTCACACACACACGTATTATACATCAAAACATCACACGTAATCTATCACTCATACATACACACTACAATACATCAAAACATCCCACGTAATCTCTCACTCATACACACACATGTATGATACATCAATACATCACACGTAATCTCTCACTCATACACACACATGTATGATACATCAATACATCACACGTAATCTCTCACTCATACACACACATGTATGATACATCAATACATCACACGTAATCTCTCACTCATACACACACATGTATGATACATCAATACATCACACGTAATCTCTCACTCATACACACACACACGTATAATACATCAACACATCACACGTAATCTCTCACTCATACACACACATGTATGATACATCAATACATCACACGTAATCTCTCACTCATACACACACATGTATGATACATCAATACATCACACGTAATCTCTCACTCATACACACACATGTATGATACATCAATACATCACACGTAATCTCTCACTCATACACACACATGTATGATACATCAATACATCACACGTAATCTCTCACTCATACACACACACGTATTATACATCAAAACGTCACACGTAATCTCTCACTTATACACACACACTACAATACATCTAAACATCACACGTAATCTCTCACTCCTACATACACACTACAATACATCAAAACATCACACGTAATCTCTTACTCATACATACAGACGTATTATACATCAAAACATCACACGTAATCTCTCACTCATAAACACACACGTATTATACATCAAAACATCACACGTAATCTATCACTCATACATACACACTACAATACATCAAAACATAACACGTAATCTCTTACTCATACATACAGACGTATTATACATCAAAACATCACACGTAATCTATCACTCATACATACACACTACAATACATCAAAACATAACACGTAATCTCTTACTCATACATACAGACGTATTATACATCAAAACATCACACGTAATCTATCACTCATACATACACACTACAATACATCAAAACATAACACGTAATCTCTTACTCATACATACAGACGTATTATACATCAAAACATCACACGTAATCTCTCACTCACACACACACAATACATACACACTATAATACATCAAAACATCACACGTAATCTCTCACTCATAAACACACACGTATTATACATCAAAACATCACACGTAATCTCTCATACACACTACAATACATCAAAACATCACACGTAATCTCTCACTCATAAACACACACGTATTATACATCAAAACATCACACATAATCTCTTACTCACACACACACACTTATTATACATCAAAACATCACACGTAATCGCTCACTCATACATACACACTACAATACATCAAAACATAACACGTAATCTCTTACTCATACATACAGACGTATTATACATCAAAACATCACACGTAATCTATCACTCATACATACACACTACAATACATCAAAACATCACACGTAATCTCTTACTCATACATACAGACGTATTATACATCAAAACATCACACGTAATCTATCACTCATACA